TTACTATGCACAATATTAATATGCTGTAAACATTATTGTTAACTGAGGCTAGTAGCCACGGCCATGCACTCAGGTTTAAATACAATGACATGTGATGGGTAGACATATTATTATGTATTGCTGTAAAGACACATGCTATGATTAGAAACAAATTATACTCTCTAGTTCCATTTTATATTATAGATTAGATTGCTGGTATGACACCTAAGCTCTAAGAGGTGCAGTTAAATCTTTGCAGCTTTGAATTTAAAAACAGAAACTGATATTTGGTTGACTTTGGATTCATGTTGTTTCTTTTTTCTTTTTATCTGATTTGATTGTTTATGCATGTGCTACTGTTAGGAACAAAACTGGTCCTGCATTAGTATTATTCATAACAGTTTGATAATGGTGTTGGTTGTTTTGATAGGCAAAACACATATTTCAAATATGAAAACAAATGCAGAACAATTGTTGTTAAAATCGTCTCTGAAAAAAGAGAAATCAGCCAAACATTTATCCCATTGCCTGTAATTGCACCACAGAGTGAAACATAATAGAGACAAAGAAAATAAATAAATGAGGAAAACCAGGGGTTAGTAATGCTTAACTAATGACAAATGGTCCCGACAAGGATGGTGCTGTGCCCGTTGTTTTCTGTTTTCCTATTTACTTCCTCCTCTCTCCCTCCTGCCTCCGCTCTCTGTGATCTTGGGACACCTTAGGCAATCTGCTCACTAGACCTGACCGGGCAGGGAGATTGCCACCATGCCCTTTCTGTCTAACAAGAGTTATGCACACCAATGTTCCACTGCCTCGTTGTACTCCAGCCACAGTTTCCATTCTTCTACCTGTTGGCCGAACAAGAAAGGAGCAGTGGGAGCATGTTTCAGAAGACAATGGGTCCACTGAACGGCTCTTAGAGCATGTCGGGCAGGAGGAGGAAGGCTTGTCTTGTCAAAGCCTTCTGGGAGTAGCTTGCAGCTTTTCCCTCTGGGAGTCAGCTCTGGCAGCCAAGTGGTGGAAGCCATCTTTGCCGCTAACAAGTTGTGATTCACAAAGACTCAATGGTTAGTTTTCAGTTGAGCAATTGACTGGTGGAATTAGATTAAGTAACCATTAGACACCCCATGTGCTCTCCTCTTGGCCACAATTGAATGTTGTGAATTGTTTGCTATAATGCAATGCTGATGTCCTTTTCTAGTTTCCTCTGTCATTTGCTTTGTTATCATGATTGGGAGACTGCTGTCCCTTATCTCAAATGCAGGTCTGATGACATTTTGCCTCGTGAGACCAATGCATCTTAATGTCTGATTAGCGTTGAGGTTTTATTTAGAAATATTGGTACCACTAAGACTAGTTTTTAAAAATATAAGACATTGGCAAATACAATTTAAGAATCTTGTAGCTTTAGTCTGACTGGACTGCTATTGCACATAAATCCAGTACTTAAATAGAAAAGGTAGCACAAACATTATTTGTCTCTTGTTCTACTAAATCAACAAATACGCTCAATAAAGGCTCGGTGCAATGGGAGCTTGCTATCACTATTTAAACAAACACAATTACAGTAAAGTAAAGTTTAGTAATCAGCATACACGCTTGAGTGCAGAAGTGCAAAAGATCTTTTGTTCCATCAATAGAACAAAGATTGTTCGTCTCCACATGGGGTACAGGCTTCCTTTGCATAGAGTTTTTCATGGCATCAACACAACAACAAAGTTGTTGAAATTGATCATACCTCATCGACTGCTTGGAGGACAGGACTTTTGTGTTGTATTTGAATGTGGCACAGCCCCAGTCCACGATCAGTCTGCCTCCTTTCAGCCCTGAACAGGCGACAGGTTAGATGTGGACTCATTACAGAGACTCTAATGAGAGAACCGGCAGCAGCCTGGAGCTGTCGGGACCCATACTGCCTTGCAGGACTGATAGCCACCCCATGACATTGTGCCCTCCTGCCACTACATGCTGGAAAATGCAGTTCAAATCATAAATCAGTATCCCCTCAGGGACCATTTTATAAAGAGTGAGAGAGAGAGAGAGCTGTGAGAAGGGGGACAAAATCAAGAGAGCGAAGGAAACTGATAAGTAGCCGAGGATGGAATGCGAGCATGAAAAAAGGCAACGAGGGAGGATGCAGATGGCCGTACGAAAGGCAACAAGGGAGTGTTTGAAGCTCTAAAGGGAGCTCTCAAATTCTGGAGGACCGCTCAAATGTATGATTCATTTCCTGCTTCTCCAAATCAATCTGCTGTCCTCTCAACATCCTACCGACTCAAATATGTCTCCCTGCGGTTGTCATCTTAAATTCTACGAACTATCGACGGAGGTTATCTTGTCATGGATGCTAAAGCTCCCTGCTGCACATGAGCGAGAACAGTGGGAAAGAGAAAGTGTGTGGGCCCTGATAGCATGCAGTGAATACAAATGCCTGTGTGAGCAAGCGCCACAAACGCATTTTGCTTCAGAGGAAGGAAAGTACACACTGCCTTATCTCTGTAATTGGCACGGGGGGTCAGAGCGGCAGGCGTAGATAATCATGGCTGGGGGTCATAATCTTCTTGCTGCTCCCCTCCCTCCTTCTTATTTGTCTTCTCTAATCAACCCCTCCCTCACCATCACAACCACGCACACCATTTTGAACTTTTTTCACATATTCGTCACATCTTTGTTGTCCCCATTTGTGATGCAGCACTGTGTGGGATATTTTTTGGATGTGGCCTCAGGGAGGGGGCTTTTTGCTGTCAGAATGAGATGGTGTCCTCAATTGATTACAGACCCCTACTTAACCACTTCCCAATCCTTTACACAAATACATCAATAAATATCTATTTTCTAGTACTACGCATACAATGGAACTAAGAGACCTAATTTACAAGGGGCACGACTTAATGGATTAAAGGTAGACACACGTCTTTTGGAATTATAGGGAACCGTAGCGTGGTAGATTGATAGTTAGGAGCAACAACACAATACGCCATAGATGGAGGAGGGTCTTGATGTGGATGTCCCGTTGTATCTCTATCAACATTATCTGTTCATATCTTTCACTTACATCACGTCATCTTCACTGTTAGCAGATGACTGCAATTTAAAGGACACGCGTGCAGGCATTTGCACACAGCTTTTCACCAGATCTGCAGCGATAGTTCTGTCTGTGCTCCTTTTTAAGATAGCATATGTGATATCTTAAGATAGGAGCCAAATAGCATTATCGTCAAGAGGTCTAATCCTGATAGACTGATAGTCGTTTGCCATAGAAACCATATTAATGTCTGAATTCTTATGTAACCGTTGCTGCTATCTGCCTTTGCTTAAACATACAAATAGTGCATACAGTATACTACATTCCACAGTAGTAGAAAGGAGCTTTGCTTTACCGTATTGTTATAAGCACAGTATGACTATTTTTAAATGACAGAGGCAACAAAGTGAAAGGTGTGTGTTTTGGCTTGAATTTAAACATGGCAGTTACACTACACTTACTTCTCAAGAATTACCAAATGGAATCAGAGTGTCTCAATAAGCCATAGAAATCATTTGCCTTGTCCTACCTAATTTGATCAGGTTTCTGGATTGTCATACTGTGTAATATTTTCGAAGTATGTCAAGAAGTGTCCTTTACAACACCTTATCAGCCGACACCTTTTGCAACCATGTTAATAAAATGTTGTCAGAAATAGAGGCTAGACAAATACTGATATTGGAAATGAGGGCAACATGTTAGACCTATGAAATATATATATATATGTATATATATTTATTCCAAGTTTCACAAGGCTATATTGAATCCTGAATCAGCAAAGCTTGTCAGTGCAGTGAAAAAAAAGCGATTTACGTTTTCTTTTCAAACCAAAACGTCCATATATTATTTAAAAATACATTATCCAGATGTTATTATCCTGATTGTTGCAGTTTTCCACAATAGTTGCCTATTAATTAATGAAAGCTGCATGTCTTTTATCAATCTTAAATATCCTCTCTAACATTTGGCATTAGCAGCAGCTCTAACAGTTCTTAACACAGAGCAGCAATAGCATCATAGCACATTGAGAAAGTGGGGCTATACCACAACAACAATACATTGGTTTGGTTATTCACCTGCCGGCCTTATAAAGAGATATCATGGAGCTTCTTAACAGCTGTTCATTAAGTTCAATCACATTGGTAAAGCTTCAGTTCACAAGTGGACCCCTGATGCTTTAAACAAGAAGCATTTAAAAAGCATACATAATACTATAAGGGGATATTTGGTGTTAGGCTTGTTTTACAAATCCTTCTGCATAATATATTTTGATTACATGCTAAACATGTTAGAGGGTATTATATCTGTGTGTCGTAAAGCTGGCAGGATATTATAGCTTGTGTACAATGTGATTTAGCTCCTCATCAGAAACCCACTGCTATATCCATTATCTCGCCTGCATCCATGCAGGATGCAATGAAACGGGTAACTAAAGAAAAGCCAGTTAACCCCTTTATACATAGTTTTTATTTGTAGTGTTTGTGTGTTAGAGGTAATTTTACCCATGGGAAAACACTAGTAGATTAATTTCAAACATATTTATTCCAGGTCATACAGTATAATCACCTATGATTTATTATGTCAAGCCTTAAGTATTAAAGAGCTTACAAAATGAAGGACAATACTGTTCTTATTACGATAATATACTATTATTAATGGAAAATCATTTGTCATTAATGACAATATGCCCGCTGTATTTATAAATCGTGATTTATTACAACTTTCCATGCTCGCTTCCTATGTTACACGACCGCTCCGAACAAAGCAGCTTTCGCCGGTTAGTGACGTCGCGCACATCACGGTACGTCACGAATAGAACACTTGTTGAATAATACACTACCTATATGGCTTGTTACGCTCTCCGAGAGCTTACAGGTGTGAACCCACAATACTGAACACTATTGAGAGGAGACTGAAGTTTAAGAAAACAAGGCTTATTTCCAAAACCGGTGATACAGAACAGCTGAGGGAATTGGATATTCACAATGTCCAGGAGCCCAGGGAGTTTCTCCGGAGGTGGAGCGGAGGTCCGAAGCCGGGCATCCAGTTTGCGAGAGGCAAGCAGAGCTGGAGCAGGTGTGCGGAGATGCACGGAGGAACACAGGCGAGGTGAAGCCGCGGATCCAGAGCTGACGAGAGCAAGCAGGCTGGGGCAGGTGTGCGTGGAAGCATGGAGGAACACAGAACGAGGGTTAGGGGCTGGACGTGGCAGCCAGAGGAGTAGGCAGATGGATTCTGAACAGATAGAGCCACAAGGGTGAGGATTTACAGGGAACACTGAGATTAGTTTGCTAAGAGCAAATACCAGACGTATTACCACTGTGGTGAGGCGACGAACTGGTGAATACTGGATGACGAAAACCCGGGTATATAAGCAGGTGTAGGTGAGTATTGAATCAGGAGTGACAGCAACAGCTGGAGGAGGTGAATTGGCGGGAATCAAAAGTAGGTCAGCCACGCCCCAGTTAAAGGAAGACAGACAGACAACAAACACAAAAAAGGGAAAAGAAAGAGGCAAGCACGTGTAGATTCCTCACATGGCGATGTCGACTCAGGAAGACAGACGAAGTGACAGTGAGGCGTCAATAGACCTCAGTGCCCTTCAGAGAGAAGATCCTCTTCTTGAAAAGAGAAAGAAAAACAACTCCATACCAGATGTTGAGACGGCCACATCCCCATACAACATATAGCTGTCGATTATTCTTGGAGTCTTATTGCTGATGCATCCTTTGTCATCATATTTGGCCCTTCAATTGCATTCAAACAGGACTTCAGCTCAGCTGTGGTCTACTCATGATTTCACCACCGAAAATGGCAAAGTTGATGTTTCCGCGCAACGAACAAATTGTTACTAACTGACAACTTATGTAGTGCTGTTATAACGTGACTTATTAAAATACATCAATAATAAAAAAAAATCATATGGCACATTTCACAATGCACAGTGCAAGCCTCATCATAACCAGCCCAAAACAGGTGATATCATCTATTTGTAAGCCTTTTAAGGTGTATATTTGAAGAAAAGTGACAATAAATCTTATCATTTTAAAAATGTCGATAACCACCTTCATTGATATAGTTAAAAAATGTTCCTAATTATTTACAATTTATACCTTTGGATTTGTCAAATTTCTTCTTTCCCTCCCCTCATAGTTTAATGTATGTATTAATACATATATAGCATACTTGGCAGTGTTTAATATATATATATACTAGTAATATTTCTCCCCAATGTATCGCTGATAAACCAACTTCTCTGCTCTGGGTTGTTTTGGAAGTAATGACAAGGACAATGAGAGATTACTTGCATGTCAAATCTTTGGTGCTTTTCAGAAAGGATATGAAGCATGGCGTTCTTTGCCAACACGCGTCCCTCAAACCTGCATTAACTTTAGAGTGAGGGTGGTCAGCATATGAGAGTGGCTTGCGGAACAGCTTTGGAAGGTCCGGAGTTTAGGCCCTGCGTACAGACAGTCTGCAATCACTGAGGTAATCAAGTGGTGAAGGTTGTGAGGAGCAAACGCCCATTACCTCCAAACACAGGCCGCATCACGCCTGCAGAGGGACAGAGGGTGTGTGTGTGGTGTGTGTGTGTGTGTGTGTGTGTGTGGTGTGTGTGTGTGTGTGTGTGTGTGTGTGTGGTGTGTGTTGTGTGTGTGTGGTGTGTGTGGTGTGTGTGTGTGTGTGTGTGTGTGATGTGTGTTGTGTGTGGTGTGAGTGTGTGTGTGTGTCAATGTTAAATCAGAACAAGTGCCGAGGCTGTGATGTAGAATAGTGTGTGTGGTGTATTGCTGGTCTGATGGATAAAGGGATGTGAGTGGGTCCTGGTGGACAAAAGTGAGTGCATTGGTGCATGCTGCAGCTGCTGTCCATCACTTGGGTTGATAGATGTGTGTGTGGGTGTTTTGTGTATATCAAGTGCAATGGTACTTTCCATGAAAGGTTATCCACCTTGACCTACAGTCCTGGTATAATGTGTGCTGGTGGTATCTATTCATTCTAATTGGTGGCAAACAGCATGAATCGTGCTCTGGGCCCAGCCAATATGACTAGCACACATTATTCGCAGTAGGCGTGACAGGTGTGTCGTGTTGTTATGCCCCAGGCTGTGACCTGCCTTTTGACATGCACTGTGTCGGCGGCTGTGATGCATGCTGAACCAACCCATCTGCTCCAAGCCAAGCTGGCCACAAGGAGAATCATTGGAGGCAGGCATGAGAAAAGGCCATTGGAACGGGGGTTTGGCGAGCATGCATCCCAACAATCTCTGAACTACTGCACTCAAAAAGGTCCAGAGCTTAAACATAGGGTGTGAGGAGTTGAGGGCTTATAGTTCGGGTGGAACTATGCAAGTGAATGACCTATAAAGGGGTTAAGTGCCACCTCAGTAGCTCATGAAAAGTCCCAAAGCCTTCAGCTGGTGCTGAAGTATTATATGTAACAATAATGCTGATCAAAGTATTTATCAAATGGGTTTGCATGAATAAAATCTATTCTGAAACTGTAACCTCGCCACAATGGCAGTTTCAATGGTCTCAAAAATGGTACCAAATTATAAGATGTTGATGTTTTTGGCAAATATATTCAAGTTTCAGTTTTACAAAACGGAAGCTATTTGTGGTTCCTCATGGGTGATCGCCAACGTGAAGTCATAGTTTACGTCCAGTATGATTCCTCGGTGTACATCATGGTAGAGGTGTAGTATTGACGTGGATTGCTGTAGGATTAGGGTTGGTGTTGATAATGTGGTGTGTCCTAGGTGTGGGAGGTGCATGTTTTCATGTAGGCAAAAGTGGTACTTTCAATACTGATGGGGGATTCTGAAAGAAACAGATAAAGACATTGATTTTCTAGTCAACTCATTCCATTCTGTACAATGTTGGGGTTAAAAATCCAGAGTAATGGTAAGGTACAAAATGTAGTTTGTAAAGTAGGCCAGGTTAAAGTGGGATAGGACGTTACTCAGAAGAAAGTTCCAAATAACACTTCCAACAGGCCTCAAACGACGCCAATGTCCTTTTTATGTTAATCCTTGGGTCTCGGGCAGTTATCATGTGTTTCTTCAGGACACATCAGGGTCTTTCTGTAAGCTATGACATGTTCAGTTTTATAGGAATGTTATTTTGGGTGGGGAGGGAGGCATTCACTAAGAAGCAACACACTGTGAGGTTCTGTTGAAAAAAAGAAAAGAACAATCAAGTAAGCAAGCCAGCGATTCATAGAGATGGCAATAATGGGAAGGTCTTGAAGTGGAGATCCAGTAGCGGGACAGATCAGTTGTTGGTGGGCAGAGAGCAGCAGAGTCATCTGAAGTAAAGTGATCCAGCCGAAGGAGAGGGTTGTTGAGAGACCATACGAGGAGACGACAGAAGAGAGAGCGGTGTGGAAGGCAGGGGGGCGTTCCTCTTTCATTACCGACACTAAGAGCCATGCCAGGAGCACAGATGGCAGAGGAGAGACGGGTAAGAGTGGGGTGCACATAATGCACAAACACTTGCACACTGCATACTTCACCACCTCTCCTAAACTATAAAAATTATGTAAATCTAAAGAATAACGTCCTCAAAAGCCCCCCCTAAATATGCCCTCCTTAACCCTTAATTTTTGAAGGACAACCTAGGGTTCACAAAACCACAATTCACACATATATGAGTCCTCGTAAGACACTGCTTACACTCACATACACATACACACACACTCACACAACTCGCCCACAACACAGAGCATGTGTTATCCATCCATGCCTGTGGTGTTCCCGTGCCAGAAAGAAAGTGCTGACACTGCACTCTCTCCATCTGTTGGCAGTCCACTTACTTACCCACACACCCACACACACATGCCACACACACACACACACCACACACACACACCCACACACACACACCACACACACACACACACACACAACACACACAAC